AAATATCGATTTTATATCTGTATTAGCATTCTTTATCATTTATAATATCTAGATATGTTTTAAAATGCAATTTAAAGCATTTTTGGTTTCGATCATAGTAGGCTTTTTCAAAAAAAAAAAAAATATCGATTTTATATCTGTATTAGCATTCTTTATCATTTATAATATCTAGATATGTTTTAAAATGCAATTTAAAGCATTTTTGGTTTCGATCATAGTAGGCTTTTTCAAAAAAAAATCGATTTTATATCTATATTAGCATTCTTTATCATTTATAATATCTAGATATGTTTTAAAATGCAATTTCAAGCATTTTTGGTTTCGATCATAGAAGGCTTTTTTCAAAAAAATATCACTTTTATATCTATATTAGCATTCTTTATCATTTATAGTACGTAGATATGTTTTAAAATGCAACTTAAAGCATAATTGGTTTCGATCATAGTAGGCTTTTTTCAAACAAATATCGATTTTATATCTATATTAGCATTTTTTATCATTTATAATATCTAGATATGTTTTAAAATGCAATTTAAAGCATTTTTGGTTTCGATCATAGTAGGCTTTTTTCAAACAAATATCGATTTTATATCTATATTAGCATTCTTTATCATTTATAGTACGTAGATATGTTTTAAAATGCAACTTAAAGCATAATTGGTTTCGATCATAGTAGGCTTTTTTCAAACAAATATCGATTTTATATCTATATTAGCATTTTTTATCATTTATAATATCTAGATATGTTTTAAAATGCAATTTCAAGCATTTTTGGTTTCGATCATAGTAGGCTTTTTTCAAAAAAAAATCGATTTTATATCTTTATTAGCATTCTTTATCATTTATAATATCTAGATATGTTTTAAAATGCAATTTCAAGCATTTTTGGTTTCGATCATAGTAGGCTTCTTTCAAAAAAATATCAATTTTATATCTATATTAGCATTCTTTATCATTTATAGTACGTAGATATGTTTTATAATGCAACTTAAAGCATAATTGGTTTCGATCATAGTAGGCTTTTTTCAAAAAAATATCGATTTTATATCTATATTAGCATTTTTTATCATTTATATTATCTAGATATGTTTTAAAATGCAATTTCAAGCATTTTTGGTTTCGATCATAGTAGGATTTTTTCAAAAAAATATCGATTTTATATCTGTATTAGCATTCTTTATCATTTATAATATCTATTTATGTTTTAAATTCAATTTCAAGCATTTTTGGTTTCGATCATAGTAGGCTTTTTTTTTTAAAAAAAAATCGATTTTATATCTATATTAGCATTCTTTATCATTTATAATATCTAGATATGTTTTAAAATGCAATTTCAAGCATTTTTGGTTTCGTTCATAGTAGGCTTTTTTCAAAAAAATATCGATTTTATATCTATATTAGCATTCTTTATCATTTATAGTACGTAGATATGTTTTAAAATGCAACTTAAAGCATAATTGGTTTCGATCATAGTAGGCTTTTTTCAAAAAAATATCGATTTTATATCTATATTAGCATTCTTTATCATTTATAATATCTAGATATGTTTTAAAATGCAATTTAAAGCATTTTTGGTTTCGATCATAGTAGGCTTTTTCATAAAAATATCGATATTATATCTATATTAGCATTCTTTATCATTTATAGTCCGTAGAAATGTTTTAAAATGCAACTTAAAGCATAATTGGTTTCGATCATAGTAGGCTTTTTTCAAAAAAATATCGATTTTATATCTATATTAGCATTTTTTATAATTAATAACATGTAGATATGTTTTAAAATGCAATTTCAAGCATTTTTGGTTTCGATCATAGTAGGATTTTTTCAAAAAAAATATCGATTTTATATCTGTATTAGCATTCTTTATCATTTATAATATCTAGATATGTTTTAAAATGCAATTTAAAGCATTTTTGGTTTCGATCATAGTAGGCTTTTTCAAAAAAAAAAAAAATATCGATTTTATATCTGTATTAGCATTCTTTATCATTTATAATATCTAGATATGTTTTAAAATGCAATTTAAAGCATTTTTGGTTTCGATCATAGTAGGCTTTTTCAAAAAAAAATCGATTTTATATCTATATTAGCATTCTTTATCATTTATAATATCTAGATATGTTTTAAAATGCAATTTCAAGCATTTTTGGTTTCGATCATAGCAGGCTTTTTCAAAAAAATATCGATTTTATATCTTTATTAGCATTCTTTATCATTTATAGTACATAGATATGTTTTAAAATGCAACTTAAAGCATAATTGGTTTCGATCATAGTAGGCTTTTTTCAAAAAAATATCGATTTTATATCTATATTAACATTTTTTATCATTTATAATATCTAGATATGTTTTAAAATGCAATTTAAACCGTTTTTGGTTTCGATCATAGTAGGCTTTTTTCAAAAAAATATCGATTATATATCTATAAAAGCATTCTTTATCATTTATAATATCAATTTATGTTTTAAAATGCAACTTAAAGCATAATTGGTTTCGATCATAGTAGGCTTTTTTCAAAAAAATATCGATTTTATATCTAAATTAGCATTTTTTATCATTTATAATATCTAGATATGTTTTAAAATGCAATTTAAAGCATTTTTGGTTTTGATCATAGTAGGCTTTTTTCAAAAAAAAAATCGATTTTATATCTATATTAGCATTCTTTATCATTTATAATATCTAGATATGTTTTAAAATGCAACTTAAAGCTTAATTGGTTTCGATCATAGTAGGCTTTTTTCAAAAAAAAAATCGATTTTATATCTATATTAGCATTCTTTATCATTTATAATATCTAGATATGTTTTAAAATGCAATTTCAAGCATTTTTGGTTTCGATCATAGTAGGCTTTTTTCAAAAAAATATCGATTTTATATCTATATTAGCATTCTTTATTATTTATAGTACGTAGATATGTTTTAAAATGCAACTTAAAGCATAATTGGTTTCGATCATAGTAGGCTTTTTTCAAAAAAATATCGATTTTATATCTATATTAGCATTTTTTATCATTTATAATATCTAGATATGTTTTAAAATGCAAATTAAAGCATTTTTGGTTTCGATCATAGTAGGCTTTTTTTAAAAAAAAAATCGATTTTATATCTATAAAAGCATTCTTTATCATTTATAATATCTAGATATGTTTTAAAATGCAATTTAAAGCATTTTTGGTTTCGATCATAGTAGGCTTTTTTCAAAAAAATATCGATTTTATATCTTTATTAGCATTTTTTATCATTTATAATATCTAGATATGTTTTGAAATGCAATTTAAAGCATTTTTGGTTTCGATCATAGTAAGCTTTTTTCAAAAAAATATCGATTTTATATCTATATTAGCATTTTTTATCATTTATAATATCTAGATATGTTTTAAAATGCAATTTAAAGCATTTTTGGTTTCGATCATAGTAAGCTTTTTTCAAAAAAATATCGATTTTATATCTATATTAGCATTTTTTATCATTTATAATATCTAGATATGTTTTAAAATGCAAATTAAAGCATTTTTGGTTTCGATCATAGTAGGCTTTTTTTAAAAAAAAAATCGATTTTATATCTATAAAAGCATTCTTTATCATTTATAATATCTAGATATGTTTTAAAATGCAATTTAAAGCATTTTTGGTTTCGATCATAGTAGGCTTTTTTCAAAAAAATATCGATTTTATATCTATATTAGCATTCTTTATTATTTATAGTACGTAGATATGTTTTAAAATGCAACTTAAAGCATAATTGGTTTCGATCATAGTAGGCTTTTTTCAAAAAAATATCGATTTTATATCTATATTAGCATTTTTTATCATTTATAATATCTAGATATGTTTTAAAATGCAAATTAAAGCATTTTTGGTTTCGATCATAGTAGGCTTTTTTTAAAAAAAAAATCGATTTTATATCTATAAAAGCATTCTTTATCATTTATAATATCTAGATATGTTTTAAAATGCAATTTAAAGCATTTTTGGTTTCGATCATAGTAGGCTTTTTTCAAAAAAATATCGATTTTATATCTTTATTAGCATTTTTTATCATTTATAATATCTAGATATGTTTTGAAATGCAATTTAAAGCATTTTTGGTTTCGATCATAGTAAGCTTTTTTCAAAAAAATATCGATTTTATATCTATATTAGCATTTTTTATCATTTATAATATCTAGATATGTTTTAAAATGCAACTTAAAGCATAATTGGTTTCGATCATAGTAGGCTTTTTTCAAAAAAATATCGATTTTATATCTATATTAGCATTTTTTATCATTTATAATATCTAGATATGTTTTAAAATGCAAATTAAAGCATTTTTGGTTTCGATCATAGTAGGCTTTTTTTAAAAAAAAAATCGATTTTATATCTATAAAAGCATTCTTTATCATTTATAATATCTAGATATGTTTTAAAATGCAATTTAAAGCATTTTTGGTTTCGATCATAGTAGGCTTTTTTCAAAAAAATATCGATTTTATATCTTTATTAGCATTTTTTATCATTTATAATATCTAGATATGTTTTGAAATGCAATTTAAAGCATTTTTGGTTTCGATCATAGTAAGCTTTTTTCAAAAAAATATCGATTTTATATCTATATTAGCATTTTTTATCATTTATAATATCTAGATATGTTTTAAAATGCAATTTAAAGCATTTTTGGTTTCGATCATAGTAAGCTTTTTTCAAAAAAATATCGATTTTATATCTATATTAGCATTTTTTATCATTTATAATATCTAGATATGTTTTAAAATGCAATTTCAAGCATTTTTGGTTTCGATCATAGCAGGCTTTTTCAAAACTAGTAAAAAGATCGCCAGTACTTTGGATCTGGGCGACTTCAGCGTATTTTCCCCGTACAGATCAGTAAAAAAATCGTAGCTTGAAATTTAAAAAAAAAACACTTTATTAATTTATATCATTGAACTTAAATTCGTTTTTTATGAAACTGTATATGGAAATATATTTGGACATTTTATGTTCGTACCAGATTGACTTTAAGAAATTCGTACCAGATTCGTTTCAGTATTTGCCAAATAAAGGAAAGGAGAACAACCTATAAGGATATTACCCTGAAAATTAATATTGAATTTTTGTTTTTTTATATAGGTCATGCAAGTTGTACAAAACGTATACTCATCGTCGGTCTGAAGCTCTTCTAGAACTAATTTTTCAAGATAATCTTCACTACATCCTGTATTTATGAGAATTTCTTTTGTTGTTCTTCTAATTTGAGTTTTAAATAGCAATTTATCACAACTATAGCATCGATAAGTCGGACCTTCAAGTATATTTGCTTCATAGTTTTGCAAAGCTGTTTCCCATGAAATGGTTTGTCCTCTTCTTTGACGACGCTGTCTATTATCCCGAATTCTTTCTTGTTCGTGATATTCGTGGTTGGTACGGCGACTGGTACGACTAGTTTGGTCACGACGTTGCTCTTCTGCTCTGTATTCTGGAGAATTTCTTCGATTGGTACGACTAGTTTGATCGCGACTTAGTTCATTTGCTCTGTACTGTGGAGAGCTTCTACGATTGGTACGACTAGTTTGGTCACGACGTTGTTCTTCTGCTCTGTATTCTGGAGAATTTCTTCGATTGGTACGACTAGTTTGATCGCGACTTAGTTCATTTGCTCTGTACTGTGGAGAGCTTCTACGATTGGTACGACTAGTTTGGTCACGACGTTGCTCTTCTGCTCTGTATTCTGGAGAATTTCTTCGATTGGTACGACTAGTTTGATCGCGACTTAGTTCATTTGCTCTGTACTGTGGAGAGCTTCTACGATTGGTACGACTAGTTTGGTCACGACGTTGCTCTTCTGCTCTGTATTCTGGAGAATTTCTTCGATTGGTACGAATTGTTTGATCGCGACTTAATTCATTTGCTCTGTACTGTGGAGAGCTTCTACGATTGGTACGACTAGTTTGGTCACGACGTTGCTCTTCTGCTCTGTATTCTGGAGAATTTCTTCGATTGGTACGACTTGTTTGATCGCGACTTAATTCATTTGATCTGTACTGTGGAGAGCTTCTACGACTGGTACGACTCACATTGTCACGAATTAATTCATTATTTCTATTATCTGGATTATTACGATATTCTTCTCTTTGTCTTTGTCGTTTTGCTTTCTCTGTTTTTCCAGTAAGTGTTGGTTTTCTTCTTTTAGACATAATTACACTGGATAGAAATTTAATTTAATTTAGATTTAAAGTATCATTTTAGATGAATTTGAATTTCTACTTACTTTTTAATTAAAATGAAGGACAAGTTAAATACATTTAGATGACTGTTTTTATTAATATATTATTTAAAAACTATTTATTATACTTTAATTCACACACATTTAAAAAGTATTATGGTCAAAAAGTTTGGTTAAATTTTTTCCTTTCTCTATAAATAGTATCGTATCCTTAGTCAATCATGCACCTCATTTCTAGTTTTTTTACACTTTAATTTACTTCAACAAACTATCGTATTAACATTTTAATTTGCACAAAAATATTTAAATCTAACTTTTTTATATTAAGACAAATGACATTCGAACACGACAAAACATTTTCAAAAATTTTTATTATTTTTTCATCAAAATATAGGCAAATTACAAGTCGCAATATTAAAATGGTTTTAAACGCTAGATATTTACATTTATCATTTTAAAGCAATCTGTTTATAACAAAATAAATCTGGATACAATAAGAATTTTTTTGTTAAACGTTTTTTGCCATTCAAAATTTTAACGGCTTTTTTGAAATTTGAAATTGTCCTATCAAACTCGTATGTTATGCAAAAGTCGGCTAAGCCGCTGCAAAAAATATATAAAAGTTAATTTAATTAAGTTTTGGTACGAAGTTATGAAACATAAAGCGGATTCGGTTTGCCTACAATATGGCAACGATTGAATGCAAAAAACCCGAAGGCTCTATGTGCTTTCATTGCTGAGATCTCACGGTACCTGCCTGCCAGCCTGCCAGCCAGCCAGCCAGCCAAAGTGAAGATAAAAGCGTATTGTTCCTTAGGAAAATACGCTAAAAAAATCGATTTTATATCTATATTAGCATTCTTTATCATTTATAATATCTAGATATGTTTTAAAATGCAATTTCAAGCATTTTTGGTTTCGATCATAGCAGGCTTTTTCAAAAAAATATCGATTTTATATCTTTATTAGCATTCTTTATCATTTATAGTACATAGATATGTTTTAAAATGCAACTTAAAGCATAATTGGTTTCGATCATAGTAGGCTTTTTTCAAAAAAATATCGATTTTATATCTATATTAACATTTTTTATCATTTATAATATCTAGATATGTTTTAAAATGCAATTTCAAGCATTTTTGGTTTCGATCATAGCAGGCTTTTTCAAAAAAAAATCGATTTTATATCTATATTAGCATTCTTTATCATTTATAATATCTAGATATGTTTTAAAATGCAATTTCAAGCATTTTTGGTTTCGATCATAGCAGGCTTTTTCAAAAAAAAATCGATTTTATATCTATATTAGCATTCTTTATCATTTATAATATCTAGATATGTTTTAAAATGCAATTTCAAGCATTTTTGGTTTCGATCATAGCAGGCTTTTTCAAAAAAATATCGATTTTATATCTTTATTAGCATTCTTTATCATTTATAATATCTAGATATGTTTTAAAATGCAATTTAAACCGTTTTTGGTTTCGATCATAGTAGGCTTTTTTCAAAAAAATATCGATTTTATATCTTTATTAGCATTCTTTATCATTTATAATATCTATTTATGTTTTAAAATGCAATTTAAAGCATTTTTGGTTTCGATCATAGTAGGCTTTTTTCAAAAAAATATCGATTTTATATCTATATTAGCATTCTTTATTATTTATAGTACGTAGATATGTTTTAAAATGCAACTTAAAGCATAATTGGTTTCGATCATAGTAGGCTTTTTTCAAAAAAATATCGATTTTATATCTATATTAGCATTTTTTATCATTTATAATATCTAGATATGTTTTAAAATGCAAATTAAAGCATTTTTGGTTTCGATCATAGTAGGCTTTTTTTTAAAAAAAAATCGATTTTATATCTATAAAAGCATTCTTTATCATTTATAATATCTAGATATGTTTTAAAATGCAATTTAAAGCATTTTTGGTTTCGATCATAGTAGGCTTTTTTCAAAAAAATATCGATTTTATATCTTTATTAGCATTTTTTATCATTTATAATATCTAGATATGTTTTGAAATGCAATTTAAAGCATTTTTGGTTTCGATCATAGTAAGCTTTTTTCAAAAAAATATCGATTTTATATCTATATTAGCATTTTTTATCATTTATAATATCTAGATATGTTTTAAAATGCAATTTAAAGCATTTTTGGTTTCGATCATAGTAAGCTTTTTTCAAAAAAATATCGATTTTATATCTATATTAGCATTTTTTATCATTTATAATATCTAGATATGTTTTGAAATGCAAATTAAAGCATTTTTGGTTTCGATCATAGTAGGCTTTTTTTAAAAAAAAAATCGATTTTATATCTTTATTAGCATTCTTTATCATTTATAATATCTAGATATGTTTTAAAATGCAATTTAAAGCATTTTTGGTTTCGATCATAGTAAGCTTTTTTCAAAAAAATATCGATTTTATATCTATATTAGCATTTTTTATCATTTATAATATCTAGATATGTTTTAAAATGCAAATTAAAGCATTTTTGGTTTCGATCATAGTAGGCTTTTTTTAAAAAAAAAATCGATTTTATATCTATAAAAGCATTCTTTATCATTTATAATATCTAGATATGTTTTAAAATGCAACTTAAAGCATAATTGGTTTCGATCATAGTAGGCTTTTTTCAAAAAAATATCGATTTTATATCTAAATTAGCATTTTTTATCATTTATAATATCTAGATATGTTTTAAAATGCAAATTAAAGCATTTTTGGTTTCGATCATAGTAGGCTTTTTTTAAAAAAAAAATCGATTTTATATCTTTATTAGCATTCTTTATCATTTATAATATCTAGATATGTTTTAAAATGCAATTTAAAGCATTTTTTGTTTCGATCATAGTAAGCTTTTTTCAAAAAAATATCGATTTTAGATCTATAAAAGCATTCTTTATCATTTATAATATCTAGATATGTTTTAAAATGCAATTTAAAGCATTTTTGGTTTCGATCATAGTAGGCTTTTTTCAAAAAAATATCGATTTTATATCTTTATTAGCATTTTTTATCATTTATAATATCTAGATATGTTTTGAAATGCAATTTAAAGCATTTTTGGTTTCGATCATAGTAAGCTTTTTTCAAAAAAATATCGATTTTATATCTATATTAGCATTTTTTATCATTTATAATATCTAGATATGTTTTAAAATGCAATTTAAAGCATTTTTGGTTTCGATCATAGTAAGCTTTTTTCAAAAAAATATCGATTTTATATCTATATTAGCATTTTTTATCATTTATAATATCTAGATATGTTTTAAAATGCAAATTAAAGCATTTTTGGTTTCGATCATAGTAGGCTTTTTTTAAAAAAAAAATCGATTTTATATCTATAAAAGCATTCTTTATCATTTATAATATCTAGATATGTTTTAAAATGCAACTTAAAGCATAATTGGTTTCGATCATAGTAGGCTTTTTTCAAAAAAATATCGATTTTATATCTAAATTAGCATTTTTTATCATTTATAATATCTAGATATGTTTTAAAATGCAATTTAAAGCATTTTTGGTTTTGATCATAGTAGGCTTTTTTCAAAAAAAAAATCGATTTTATATCTATATTAGCATTCTTTATCATTTATAATATCTAGATATGTTTTAAAATGCAACTTAAAGCTTAATTGGTTTCGATCATAGTAGGCTTTTTTCAAAAAAAAAATCGATTTTATATCTATATTAGCATTCTTTATCATTTATAATATCTAGATATGTTTTAAAATGCAAATTAAAGCATTTTTGGTTTCGATCATAGTAGGCTTTTTTTAAAAAAAAAATCGATTTTATATCTATAAAAGCATTCTTTATCATTTATAATATCTAGATATGTTTTAAAATGCAATTTAAAGCATTTTTGGTTTCGATCATAGTAGGCTTTTTTCAAAAAAATATCGATTTTATATCTTTATTAGCATTTTTTATCATTTATAATATCTAGATATGTTTTGAAATGCAATTTAAAGCATTTTTGGTTTCGATCATAGTAAGCTTTTTTCAAAAAAATATCGATTTTATATCTATATTAGCATTTTTTATCATTTATAATATCTAGATATGTTTTAAAATGCAATTTAAAGCATTTTTGGTTTCGATCATAGTAAGCTTTTTTCAAAAAAATATCGATTTTATATCTATATTAGCATTTTTTATCATTTATAATATCTAGATATGTTTTAAAATGCAAATTAAAGCATTTTTGGTTTCGATCATAGTAGGCTTTTTTTTTCAAAAAAATATCGATTTTATATCTATATTAGCATTTTTTATCATTTATAATATCTAGATATGTTTTAAAATGCAATTTAAAGAATTTTTGGTTTCGATCATAGTAAGCTTTTTTCAAAAAAATATCGATTTTATATCTATATTAGCATTTTTTATCATTTATAATATCTAGATATGTTTTAAAATGCAAATTAAAGCATTTTTGGTTTCGATCATAGTAAGCTTTTTTCAAAAAAATATCGATTTTATATCTAAATTAGCATTTTTTATCATTTATAATATCTAGATATGTTTTAAAATGCAATTTAAAGCATTTTTGGTTTTGATCATAGTAGGCTTTTTTCAAAAAAAAAAATCGATTTTATATCTATATTAGCATTCTTTATCATTTATAATATCTAGATATGTTTTAAAATGCAACTTAAAGCTTAATTGGTTTCGATCATAGTAGGCTTTTTTCAAAAAAAAATCGATTTTATATCTATATTAGCATTCTTTATCATTTATAATATCTAGATATGTTTTAAAATGCAATTTCAAGCATTTTTGGTTTCGATCATAGTAGGCTTTTTTCAAAAAAATATCGATTTTATATCTATATTAGCATTCTTTATTATTTATAGTACGTAGATATGTTTTAAAATGCAACTTAAAGCATAATTGGTTTCGATCATAGTAGGCTTTTTTCAAAAAAATATCGATTTTATATCTATATTAGCA